CCTACCCGTTTCTTTAACTCCAATAAACACGCTCAGAGGTCTCGTTAACACGCTGGAGCCGACCGCTATTAACATGGATGAGTTCATGACGTGGCTTGATTTCGTGTTGCCGAAAACACCTTTCCAAGCATATTTCACCCTCTTGCTTGAACGGGGAGCAAGTCCGGCGCTTTACCTTGAAGGAGTCCGTTTAGCTTGCAACTTCGTCACCGTAGCACATGGTATAACCATGTTGGGATCTATCTCTACCACCGACGCATATGCATGCTTCCTTCATGGTCTGTTTCTAACCGCAACTGGCAACGGACGGGAGTTTGAACCCGTGAATGCGACCTTCTGGGATTTAGTGCCATCATTTGAAGATGCAAACACAGTGGGGGAGTTAGTTATGTATCACATAAGTCGATTGTATGCTCAAGGACCTCAGATGTGGAATCTATCATGGAGGTTCATGATTTCACCAGACTGCTTGGGTCATTGCAGCTACGGAGCTTGCTGGCGTAATTATTTCTTCTACTGGTATGCTAGGGAGTTGTGCATATTTTATTAAGGAATGGCGTTCGTTCAGCATCTGTTTTCCCATTCTATGCATCGGCATCGGTTATATGCTTTGGCTTTAGTATCCTTTTGTTGTATGCTCTACTCGGTTTATTGTTATGCTTTGTATTTCCTTGTTTTATTGTTATAATTTGTATTTCCTTGTTTTATTGTTATGTTTTGTATTTCCTTGTTTTCAAATTATGTTATGAATGAAATTAAGTTTCTTTATATTCTATATAGAGTACAACTATGCTAATAATGTTGCTAGAGTTTGAACGTACACCGATTTAAATGTACGTCCATGAAAAGTCAGCAATAAAATTTTATTACAAGTTAGAGGTATTTTATAATAAGTAAAACTTTAGCAGTTTGAACGTACACTTATCCAATATACGTCCATGAAATATAATGTCGGAAATAAGTAAAACTTTAGCATAAATATAGGATATGTTTAAATTCGGTTACAAATCTGTAGTTTTTAAGAATAACAGAAACAACAGAAAAACTAATACACAACGACTTTGGAGATGGGGCAATTGCTCACAATCTTCAGTTTATAAGTCCCGCTCAGACGCCAGGAAACGAGAGCAATAACATTTTAAGGACCAGTTAGCCTTTAGAAGAATCTTTGAAATTCCAAAGCTTGTAGTTTGTGTGATTCACATTGAAGAACTTCCTTGCTACAGAGAATATATATATTATACGGAAGATCAGAAACATAAAGGTGAAAACTTTTTTAAAAATTAACACAGAAGCACTTACTATTGATCCATTATCTTAAAAGAAAGCTTCAGCCCACGGTAGTCCTCGGTCAAGTTGCCAACCTCAAGTAGCGCAACAATCACATCTGGTGTATGTAATAAAAGATATAAGTATTACGTGTACGTACAAATTCCAAGAATGAATAGAAAGTCAAATATACTAACCAACTAACACTCCGGTGGTAACTGTCTTCTCGATGATGTAGTCAAAAGGAGTAAAATCGTAATACGGTATTGCAGCCAATCCTGAAGGTTTGGTAACAATGGTCTGATCCATAAAACAGATCCGGTAGTCATGGGACGTTGTGTGTATCCCCTCGTCGTGGTTTCGAACCGAGAAAGTATTGATAACTATCCACTCATTTTCTCGGATACGGTCAAAGTAAAATGAAGCAATGCGACCATTAATGGTAGCCTCTATGCGGGGACGGCAACCCTGCACCATATCATGATGATTAGTTACATGTAAGGTATGTGAAACTAAAAACGTTATAAACACATTGGCGAAATAGTACACGATTATCGGTCAAGATGAGTGCGAGGTCGAACTCATTTACTCCCACGCATTTCTTAAACACCGTGACCACAAAAGCGCGTATACTTCATTCAGTGATCATTGGACAAAGTTCAGAAATGGAATGATATCCATCATCCATGATGCCAACAAAAGTACCAGAATAACCGACTTTCTGTCTTATTTGTGTGGTGGGTTTGGACTTTCGTTTGAATGAGTGAAGGGTGTTATTACCAGGTTCTTAAATAGATTTTAAAACGACGCGATGATTGGTCCCAAATCAATGTAACGGTTTAGTTAAAAATGTAATTGTCAACTCTTTTATAATAAGATGTACGAAGCATACGTACAAATGAAAACATTTATCAAAGTTACGTACAGACAACAACGTCTACTTACAAAAAGTTGAATGATAAGTAAAACCGATAATACGAGGTCCACAAACGTTCGTACACACAATAACGTACAGACAAAATAATATTTAAAATAAAAATTAGACTGATAAAAAGATTTCCAAAAAACGTACGTAGAAAATCGTCCAAAAGCACAGAAACGTAAACTCTAACCATCGCGAGTAAAAAAGTCATCGACTAAATAGGGTTTTTGCATGTCTTCTTGTTATGACCGGTTTTCCAACATCTTGTACACTGATTAGGAATGAGTCTTTTCTGCCTCTTTTTCTGAAAGTTGTAAAACCTTAGTATCTCAGTTAAAATAAAGTAAAAATTGCATAGCAGTTAGGATGGGGAAAAACTTACCCGGTTTTCCCCGGTAGATGGATTATTTTGGTGGGTGGTCTCCCAGGTGGTCGTCTGCCGCGTGGAGGTATGAGAATCAGTTGATAACATTGTATTTTACTCATTTTAGGGCATGTATTTTATCATCATTTAGCTTAGTGATCAGTCATTGTTTCATATCATTTAGCTTATTTTGCACACTAAGGCATTTAGAATCATCTTGCATATATATTGCATGTTTTGGTGTGTTTTCAGGTGCAAAAAGAGCTTACAAGGATTCTACTCGACCTTCTACTCTATCCAACCAAGAGGGAAGCAGCAGAGAATTCTACTCGACCAGTTCACTCGATCCAGGCAGCCATAGAGGAGGCAGCAATTCACTCGACCCACCTACTCGATCAAGGCAGACATAGAAGAATCAGCAGATCGATCTACTCGTCCCTCCTACTCGATCCTCTACTCGACCCATTTACTCGACCAACGGCGACCTACTCTACAAGACTTGTTAATCTATCAAAGCGTCTTCGGATCCTCCTCATTCCCCACTCAACCAGACATCTGAGCATACAGATAAGAGAGGAAGAAGCATCTACTCGACCAATTGATCACTCGGAGCATAGACACAAAGGCGCAGACTTTGGAGCACCCAATTTACTCGATCCCCAAGATCGAGCACTCGCCCAAACCGCCTTAAGTCTCTTGTCTTCTAGTGAATCTAGGGTTTTCAACATTTTACTATAAATAGATCACTCTTGGATTTGTCCAAAGGATCTAGATTTTATCCTTTAGTTTTTCTTTGTGTTCTTGAATCTTCAAAACTTAATTACTCTTAATCTATTTCGTTTTTGCATTTAGTTCTTTGAGTAAAGTTGTTTAGTTTGTTTAGATCTACATTTTGGTATGATTTCAGTAATTTCTGGTTTGTGTTCTTAGTTATGTTGCTTGAGTAGTGATTAGGGTTCTTGAGGATGGATTAGATTAGGGTAATCTCTAGGTTAGTCAGGTGGTTAAGATTAGGTTAGATCCCTTCTGGATTGGTTGGCCCTTATGCGGTTTTTGCTAGCTAATATGGGAATTCGACCATAGACATCCAGCGTCCAAAAGACGTTCAAATGGATGCATGATCTACTAATTCCAGAGATTTATAGACTATAGACCAAGAGATTGGCTAGTCTGTTTATTGGCTTTGGTAGATTGTTGCTTAAACTCTGCTCTATTATGTTTCATCAACGAGAGTTGAGATTAGGAAGTGGTAGAGTTATAGGGGTCTCTGTCACGAGAGTGGATTGACCCGGTTTTGAATCTATCGTCTAGGGTTTCTGCCTTTCACCTGTTAGCCACCTGATGAACCTTAGAGTTGCCCTTATCAATGAATCCATCCTTAGGACTTCTATTCTTCTTAGATTTATTTGTATTCACCCCCTGATTGCACTTTTATTTACCTGTTATTTGTATCCCCTGTTGATTGCATTTTAGTTCTTAATATTGTTACTTGTTGGTTCTACTCGACCCAATGATCGAGTAGGGCTCTTAAGTTCTTATTTTTACATGTTTGAATCTTGACCTAGGATTGTTACTAGAAACCCACCATCTTTATAATCTGGCTTGACTTAGTTTCTTCTGTACACATCTTGATTGCTAGCAATAACAGTGGACTGGATTGTCACCCCCTATAGCTGCATCGACTTGTTAGTGTTTAAGGCGAATTGAACTGAACCTCACTTCAGCATATAAGTAGGCCTAAAAACCTACTTATCAATTTGGTGTCGTTGCCAATTCATTGTTGCATTGTTACATTCAAGATTTCAGAAAAAGTTAAGATCAAGTTCTTTTCCATTTATCAAGTTACTAACTTATCTTTTCACCTGCTTGTTTTTGTTGTATAGGTACTAATCTTTGTGCATGCAAACTCGGTCCAAATGTTCTGCACACCTACTACCATTTAGAGACAAAATTGATAGAATAGTTCGTGAGTTACAAGAAACCAAAGCAAAGGCAGCCTGTGATCAGCAAAGACCAGCTGCTATGGATCAACAAAACAGATCAGTTGATGTTCAAGACCCACCTAATGTTGATCAACCAAGAAACATTGGTGCTGATGATGCCCCAAGAAATCATCACCAAAGACAAGGGATAGTGCCTCCACTAGTTCAGAACAACAACTTTGAGATCAAGAGCGGTCTAATCTCCATGATCCAAGAAAACAAATTTCATGGTTTATCTATGGAAGATCCCCTGGACCATCTTGACAGCTTTGATAGACTCTGTGGCCTTACCAAGATCAATGGTGTCACTGAAGATATGTTTAAGCTCAGACTATTTCCCTTCTCTTTGGGAGACAAGGCACACCACTGGGAGAAGACTCTGCTCCCAGATTCCATCAACTCATGGGACGATTGTAAGAAAACTTTTCTTGCCAAGTTCTTCTCTAATGCTCGCACAACAGCTAGATTGAGGAACGAGATATCAGGCTTCACACAGAAAAACAATGAAACTTTCTGTGAAGCTTGGGAAAGGTTTAAAAGCTACACCACTCAGTGTCCCTATCACGGTTTCAAAAAAGCTTCACTATTGAGCACACTCTACAGAGGAGCTTTACCAAGATCAGAATGCTAATCGACACCGCCTCCAATGGAAATTTCCTGAACAAGGATGTAGCAGAAGGATGGGAGTTGGTCGAAAATCTAGTACAATCTGATGGGTGCTACATTGAAGACTATGATCGCTTAGTGAAAGGAACCGGAGGCACTGAAGACAAACAGAGCAAAGATATCAAGGCTCTGAATGAAAAGCTAGACAAGTTGTTGCTGGCTCAGCAGAAGCAGATACACTACATCACTGATGAAGAGCACTTCCAAATGCAAGAAGGGGGGGATGATCAAACTGAAGAGCTGTGCTACATTCAGAACCAAGAAGGGTTCATCAAGGGCTACAACAACTACAAGCCCAACCCAAACCTCTCCTACAGAAGCACTAATGTAGCTAACCCCCAAGATCAAGTGTATCCACCACAACAGAATCAGTCTAAGCCATTTGTTCAGTATAACCAAGGTTATGTCCCAAAGCTGCTGTTTAATGGAGGCTACCAACAGCAGAATCCACCACCAGGGTTCACTGAACAACCATAACAAGCCCCAGCAGCTCAAGATCCTGAAATTAAGCAACTCATTCAACAAATCATTCAAGGACAAGCTACTAGCGCTATGGCTTTTGACAAGAAGATAGCTGAATTACACAACAAGATCGATTGTTCTTACAACGATCTAAATGTCAAGTTCGAAGCTTTGTATTCCAAAATCAAGTATGTGGAGAGTCAATTTGCATCAACATCTGCTCCGAAGCATCCTCAGCAACTTCCTGGGAAAGCAGTCCAGAATCCTAAGGATTATGCTACTACAAATGCTATCACAATCCACCAAGAAGATGAGTCTCCACCAAATCATCAGACTCCCAATACTGAGGACAACATGATTCAAGAAGGGAGGGATTCAACTCAAATTGCTGCACCTGCCACCTAGCAATTCATCTGGATTATAGAGCACACACCTTTGCTGAATACTCACCATTCTGGAAAAAAAATTCAAAATTGAAAAACTCAAGAAAGGTCAGAATCAAGAGATGATTAGCAGTGCCACCACCCAAGAAACTTACAAGAAGAAAGTCATCCAAGAAAAGCTTGATGATCCCGGTTCATTCACTCTGCCATGCTCTCTACGATCATTGACATTCATAAGTGCCTTTGTGATTTGGGAGCATTTGTTAGCCTTATGCCTCTCTCTACTGCCAAAAGGCAAGGGATCATGGAATAAAAGTTCTACAACTTAGCTTTACTCTTAGCTGATGGTTCTGTTGCACATCCTCATGGTCTAATAGAAAATTTGCCTGTCAAGATTGGAAATGTTGATATACCTACAGATTTTGTGGTATTGGACGTAGATGAAGAAGGCAAGGATCCCCTGATCCTAGGCAAACCATTCTTAGCTTCAGCTGGAGCAGTCATAGATGTCAGGAATGGAAAAATTAATCTGAACCTTGAAAAAGGCATCAAGATGAAGTTTGACATCAGAAAAGCTTCAGGGAAATCAACAACAGGAGGTTAGAATTTTGGGATTCAGGACATGGATGTTGATGAAGAAACAGAAGCTGGAACCTCACCAAGAGTTAACTATACTTCTCAACTCAGCAAGCGGAAGAGAACTTTTGACCACAAGAAGAGAGCAATATAAGGGTTAGCTCAAACTGAAGATCCTACAAAAGATGACTCGTATGAGATAAGAAAAAAATTTAAATGGCAAAGTAGAGTCATAGAGAAATTATCTTCAAGGGTGATGAAGCTGAAAGATCAACATGGATGTTTGAAAAAAGAGTTAATAAGTTTTCAAATGGTATTGATCCAGAGAAGATGGAAACTGCACTAGCTATCAAAGAGAACGAAGATTTCACAACAGAAGCGTTTGCACCAGAAGATTAGAAAGGAGTTCACTTAGAGGAAAGAAGCCTAGAAAGCAAGTTGTTGACTGAGGAGGAAACCCCTATTCCCACTTATTCTCCAGGAGTGCCTAAACAGCCCACCAACCCCTCTGCTGAAGAAGAACACTTGATTCATGATTCTGTTCTTCAAGAACTCCTGGAGCTCTTGTAACACCCCAAAATTTGGTAGAATTTTGAAAGTATTACTAAAAATAATATAATAAAAATACTAAAATTCAATATTGTATAATGTTTTTTTAAATCATAAAAACTCCAAATATCGAAAACAAAATAATTTAAATCAAGAAAAATCTACCAAGTCTCGCTTTACGATTGAACGAAAAACTTTAAACCTCAGTTGCTCGCTCCACCTCCTCAATGTCCTCTACACGGAATCAGAACTTATATGAGCAAAAATTTGCCCAGTGAGACTACAAACCCGATGAACAAGTACCAACACGGTCTGATCCTGTACAGAATAATATTCACGTGTTGGTACTAATAGACATAAATTTTAATTTAATTAATTTGAAATAAAGTAAACACATCAGAGCTTATACTATCAAAACTATATTATCAAATCAGCATAACAGAACAATATCAACAACACAGAATATTAACATCAGAACAGAACGACCAGATATCCAGCAATATGTGTCGGAATGGTACAACCCCAGCAATGGTTGACCCAAACCGTATACTAACAAAATATTTTCATAATATACTCGATAGGGATGCTGGCCCCTATCAAGGTGATAAGGAAGTACGGTCCACGACATTAACCGACCTCAATACCACTAACAGACTAACAGAATACGGAATACATCCGTTGGCGATGCCGGCCGTCACAGATTGCTCAATAGAGCTAGCTAAATTAGAGTCGCATGCTAATATTGGTCTTAACAGAATGACATATTTCATTATCAGAAACATATTCAGAATTATCACCCTAAATAACTAACCAGTTTTCAAAATTCACATATTCCAATAATTCAAATTTTGTTTCTATTTTCTTCCCAAATATTTTGCAAATATACATCAAATCTTATCAGAATAACATATCTTAAGAAGGCTGAAAGCAACCCAATACTAAAGAGTCGACAACTGAAGTCACAACCAACCTAAACAGCCACAAAATCCGGTCACAAAATATCAACAAATATTCAAATTGGCATTGAGGCAAAAAGGATCTAAGAAACTCACCAAAAGTCTCAAATTGATTATGGTTTCGGCTTCTAGTTCGTTGGGGCTTTAAAACACATATATATACGATATATTAGGGTTAAGGAACAAGGATTTGAATTGCCAAAAACTTTCCTTCAGTTTCGGAAAAGATAAACTCGAATTTCTCTCCTTTTCCATGTTTTTGCACTTTAGTCCTCTGATTTTTCTCTATTTACATATTTCGCCCAGACTTTTGAATATCTCAAAAATCTTCCTGAAATCAGACTGTTTCAAAATGATCAATTTAACCCAAAATCTGATCCTATATTTTCTTTTAATTTTGGGTGTTACAATTCCACCTCCCTTAAGCAGAATTCATCCTCGAATTCAAAGATTTACCTAAAACAGAAGGGGATATTTCTTTTTCATTTCAGACTCCAACTCCCATGTCGCTTCCTGGGTGCCATGATTCGTCCACAGAATCTTAACAAGGGTAATAGATTTTCTCCTAAGCTCTTTCACTCTAGTCTCCAGTATCTGAACTGGTTCTTCTTCATAACTCAAGTCTTCTTGAATTTGTAACGATTCAAAGTTCACCACATGAGATGGGTCATGATGATACTTTCTCAACATCGATACGTGGAAAACATTATGCACTTGCCCCAACTCTGAAGTAATTCTAAGCGGTAAGCTACACTTTCCACACGTTCGAGAATCATAAAAGGACCAATAAAACGCGGCTTTAACTTTCCTGACTGTCCAAATCGAACCTTACCTTTTATAGGTTGAAATTTAATAAATACTTGATCGCCTACCTGAAATTTCAAATCTCGCCTTTGACGGTCTACATAACTTTTTTGGCGGTCTTGTGCAGCTTTCATCCTATCTCTGATCAGCCTCAATTTTTCATTGGTTTCTAAGATTAACTCAGGACCAATACCAGAAGTTTCTCCAGCTTCTGCCTAACATAAAAGTGTACGACATGGCCTACCGTATAAAGCCTCGTATGGTGCCATACCGATACTCGCATGGAACCTATTATTATAAGTAAACTCAATCAATGGCAACGACCTCTCCCATGACTGGTTACTATCTAAAACACATGATCTCAACATATCCTCTAGTGTTTGTATAGTCCTTTCAGACAGTCCATCTGTCTGAGGATGATAAGGCAGTACTAAAATGTAGTTTTGTACCCAATACCTGATGTAAGCTACTCCAAAAATGTGAAGTAAACTTTGGATCACGATCTGAGACAATGATACTCGGGACACCATGCAACCTCACAATTTCTTCCACGTAGATCTTTTCTAGTCGGGCTGAAGAGAATGTCTTCTATACTAGTAGAAAATGGGCTGACTTGGTGAGTCGATATACTATTACCCAAATCGAGTCATTTCCCTTCTGCGACCTTGGTATTCCTGTGACAAAATCCATAGAAACTTTCTCCCATTTCCACTCTGGGATAGGTAATGGTTGTAGTTTACCACTAGGCTTCTGATGCTCAATTTCTACCTGCTGGCATACAAAACACTTGGATACAAACTCTGCAATATCACCCTTCATACCATTCCAATGATAAAAAGGTTTAAGTGTTTGATACATCTTAGGCACACACAATCTACCTTTAAAAGATAACACTGCGTCGTCTCTAAGATTGATCCTAGCTGACGAAAATCCTCGGGTTTTTCACAAACAGGACCGAATTTACCATCTTGCCTCTGAGCATCCCGAATACGTGCTAGTAAATTCGACTCAATACCCAATGTTGCAAGAAATCCAAAATTTTCCTCTCGGATAGAAATGTGAAACTGACTCATCTGCTCTATTAAGTTCCATTGCGATCTAAGAGATGCCACAGTTACTTGCTTTCTACTCAAAGCATCAGCAACCACATTAGCCTTTCCTGGATGATATAGAA